GCATGCATGACCAAGCATAAGATGAAAATGGTCTTGTCGGGACTCCCGAAGAAGTAGAATTTTAGCTCAGCAGAAAAATGCTGGCTTTTGTTTAAAACTTTGCTGATGTTACAGGCTTGTCACCAGGGACCTCTCATCATTGTCTCTGACATCTAGGAAATGCAAATCCAGTATCATTTTAAAATAAAACAAGATGACAAATCACAGTCCAGGCAGGTCCCTTTGCAATCACAACCTAAAACTGCAGCTGGTTCTTGGTAAAATGATTTCATTAAACCGAACTGTTCGATTCCTTCTTGCAACGTACAGTGTTTAACCATTACTATCCAGTGAGGATGCACATTTATTATAAAAATGCCCAAAATCACAAGCCCTTTGGCCTTTTTGTTTTTAAACAAAATTTCCTCAGGTTCTTTAAAGTATAAACATTATAGAAATGAGTGGGCTGCCCAGACCTGGTTTTTTTTTTTAGAAAAACATGTTTGTTCCAATGTATGAACTAGGGAGGCAGATTAGATGCTCAGTGAATTGTGAAATGTATTGTCTTAATGTTATCTCTCTCCTCCTCTTAAGCAAAATATTTGATAGTCCTACCACTATTAAAGAAATCACATGTGTAATTAAAAATCTCCCCCAAATAGTAATCCAGGTGTAAATGATTTCACTGGAAAATTCTATCAAATATTTAAAGAATTAACACCAATTCAGCACAATTTCTTCCAGAGATAGCTAAGTGTCTACAGTGCCAGGCCCTATTCCACCTGTTTTCACATGTCAAACTCTCATTCTTTCATTAACCTTATAAATAGTCCTTGTTTTTACTCCCTCCCATCTGAGGAAAATGGAGCCCAGAGAGCTCATGTACACGGCTAGGGCATAGCATGGCCGGAATTCAAGTTTAGATTTCTGGGCTATAATTGCATCAAATCAGATGCTCAGATTTCACTTATTTTAAGCTCAATGGAAGGCCAAATTTACCGTCAAATTTCATTTTGGCGGAGGGAAATTCAGACCTGATCAGGATATGCTATTTCTACAAAGAAGTTGGGGTACGACCATAGTTGGCCTCCTCAACAGAAGTGTGTTTTGTGAATAACAATAAAGGTTGTTCCTGCTGGCAACTGCTATACAATTTCTCTCTCCATGCCAGTTAAGATATATCTGAGGAATAAACAAGAAAAGAGGTTTGTTATTGGAAAAGGTGAGAGCTTCACTACAGCAGAACCAACCACACCACTATAATTGTCAGAATCAAGAAGCAAAACACTGCTTCATTAATTTTTTTTCCTGTTGTTCGTTATTTTACTCCACCAAGGTTAATTATACCCCTCCCCATTGATTTTAACAAGCACCCTGGATTAAACACTGCAGAGAGAGCAGCAGTCTACAAGTCTATATGAACTGCCTCCATTTAGGAAAAACGGTATGTTAAAAACATTATATTGACAAAGAAAATTGTCCTGTGTTTTCTCTGAACAAAAGAGAAAGCATGACTACCCCCTGCCAAAAAAAAATAATAATAACAGAGAAAGATCGTTAAAATTTAATATTCAATAAATGCTCTTTAGGCTTCTATACTTCCTTCTCAACAACTAAGAGCTCCATATTAGCTCAGTTCTCAAAATAAGCCACGATGTCCCTGATGGCAAAGCTTGTCCAAGTTTACTGGGTATCTGTCCCGTTTTGCATCACGGAATACTGGCAGGCAAGGGCCATGTTGCTGGGATGTAAGGCTGACTCTGAGGGACATGGGAATTCTGGGAGTTCCAGAGCCTGGAGCTGGTCTACGTCAGGGCTGCTCCAGCCCACAGCGTTTGGGAATGTCTTAATTGCCAAGTGCCTGTCTGGAACGTATCTAATTGCTGTCCTCTGATATTCTCGTTCTATTCAACCTCATATAGCATCTGCTCTGTACAAGGCCTGGTTCGCGAAGCAGTGCCTCAGGCAAAGTGTCTCTTAAGTCTCACTTTTTTTCCAAAATTAAGAATCTATTCCAATTTTACATTCTGCAAAGCTCTATGTTGGTTTTGATATAAAACTGAAGTTTTTCCCACAAATCTTTGAGAAAAATAAATGGCCGAAGAGGAGCTTTGGCCATCGACCTTGTGGCTATCTGAAGGCCCCCAAACATCGTCAGCTCATTTTTCCCAGGAAGTTGATTTTTCCCAGGAAGAGACGGTTCTCATAGCGCTGGACAGAACGATGAACACGCAGGGAAACAAGTCATAAGGCCAGCTGCTGACTTCACACTTACAAAAAAACTGCTTTCCACACTGGAAGGGTTCCCTTTTTAATCCGATGCATAGTTCAATCCAATTTAAAGCTATACTTAAAAAGCACAGCAACCTATTGTCTCAAATGTGACTCCAGGTTTTCCAAGGGCTTACATTAGATCCATTCACCAAGATACCAGCAGAAAAGTTGCATTGAACTTTTTTCCTGCTCTGTCTATGGATATGTTCACAAAAAAGAAATAAGAAAAAAAGAAAAAGAAGACAAGAACTGAGGAGCACTAAACCTCCATGCTACATCCTCCAATTCTTTGAAATGTCATTTCAGGCAACAAAGTTTTCTCCATAGTCACTTTACCATTTAATCAGTAACAGGTATGACCTTGGTAGGCTTTTTCCCCTTTCTTTCTCCCCATCCTTGCCCCATATGCCGTTTCCATTTTGAATAACTATACTCTGGGGTAGTTCATTCATTCATTCACTCAATTCTTTCTGGCTGCTTTCTGTAATCTCTTGTGCTGGAGACCAGGGGAGTTTTTTATGTTGCTGTTGAATGATTGACAAGAATAACTTGGGTTCTGATGAGACTGATACCTACATCCTGCAACAAACACAAATCACAGAGGTGCTCCATTCCAGGAAATAATTTCCCTTCAACGTCTCAACAAACTGGCTATGTGATCATTTCAAAGTTTGTGCAATAAATGAACTTTTGAATTGAGGGAGACACCGAAACCCAAAATGGGAAAACAAAAATATACAGAGGGGCAGTTAGCATTTTCTCATTTGTCATCTGACCTCAAAGTTCACCCCGGCACCGACACAAAGAAGTAATGATTTCATCAGCCGCCTAACAGATGGCAGGCACAGAAGAGACCTAACCCTCTCTGACAAGGCTGGAGAACAGCTCCATAGAATTTAAGTTAACCGGATGGTGGCTGCTACTTTCTCTCTGTCGCCTCCTGCACAGCAGGCCTGTCCAGAGCTCAAAGACCTACAGCTTCAAGTGCAGCAATGCAGGGACTCAGGTTCACCCTTCAAGGCAAAGCAAGGGTCTCAAGTTACTATGGGGTCCCTTTTCTGCATGAAATTCTGTTCCAATAAACACAACTCAAACTTTTGCTCATAAAGTAGGCTGCCCATGGTGGGACATTTCTAGCATCTCTTTTCTTCTACGAGCACCTAAGAGACATTGGAGCATTTATTTTCTTAAACAGTGAATGATATTTTTCTGAAGGGCTAGAGGCAAAACATCAGGGAGGCCTCATGTTGCAAACTCCAGAGTCCAGCTTGCTTCCTAAGGGTTACCGCTTACGGGAGAACAGGCGTTCCTTCCGAAGTTGGGCAGAATCGCTGCTCCTGGCTTCAGGATCACCTGGGGAGCTTTATACAATCCCAATGCCAAGGCTGCAACCTAGAATCTCTGGGGGTGGCACCCAGGTAGCATTATCTTTTAAAGCCCCCCATGAAATCCCCAGCAGGTTCCAATTGGCAGTCAGGTATGTGAGAAATATATTTTACATCTTAAATACTTCATTTAAAATTTTTAAATTGTTTTAATAAGTTAATTTAAGTTGTACTCAGAATCCCCTCTGCACTGGGTTTGCCATTCTCACAACTCGGCCTCTCCACATGCTTCAATTCAGTCTCTCCAAGTCTCATGTTAAGGTTCTGTGTTTTGCAGGGTTAGCCCAAATTGTTAGCATGCCCCGCTCAGACATCAGGGAAGCAAATGCTGATGCTGCAGCTGGGCATTCTGGGATGTCCTGAGACCAAGCTATAACATCCAGGACAGTCTGAAAGTAAAAGACATTTATGCCTGGACACTCTGCACCCTGCAGGCACTGTGCACTGCAAAGGTCCTCCATGACTCAGGGGAGGTGGTCTCGCGTAGGCCAGATCCACCCTTCTGCATGGAAGGCGGGGCCTAAAGGGAATTGGCTATCTTCCCCAAGATATGCTGTGCCCCTCACTAATTCAGACACTATCATCTAAAACTATGCAACCTGCTGTAGGCCACCGAGCTATACATTTTTGTGTTGATCTCTCTCCATGGTGCATCCTGTGCTGACTTTTTTCTGCATCTATTACATAAGCAAACACTGATTTACCCAAGCTGTAACAGAGCCTAGTCTTCCCATCAATTGGTGCCTTCTACTGCCATCTGTCAGTATAATGATGGTGCGAACCCAGAAACTCACTGGATCAAGACGTAAAAGAACACATCCTGCTTTCTCTTGTACACAGTAGGTGTTCAGTGGTGCTGGTTAAACTAAGGACTCTACCCCTAAAGGCACGCAGGCTCTAACAAAAGAAAGGTATCAATATGGCTTGGACAAGGTATTCCAGCAACAAGGCACAGCGACTCAAATACAGTCTAGTAAAAAGGGGACAGGTGCCAGGATAGAGGTGAATCTCACGGAAACAAAGCACAGAAAGCGTAGCTGAGCCTCACAGGTTAGCACGCAGCGGCTCTGTCTCCCCTGCTCTCTGGGACCCCCTGACTTCACGCTGCAGTGTGTCTGAGCCGTGCTTCTTCCCCTCCTCCTCTGCAAGTGGCCTGCCAGAGTCACCCAGGAAGAGTGACCGCTGCTTATTTCTGAGAGAAACTTGAATGGCCCACCTCAGGGAAAGTGGGTAGCAAACATAAGGTTGGTATAGCACACGCATGTGGGGACACTGAAAAGACCCAGGGTCATTAGAACAAATGATAAACACAAGCTGCGTTGAGTGGTGCGATACCCCAAGAAATTAGAATTCACGCATAAATAATAGTTGTAAAACCTTTATTTCAGGATGATGCAGGATCAGACTTCATAGGTACACAACTAATTTATAGCTCCAAATCACAACAGTATTCAACCAAAAACACCTTATCCTTCACAAAACTTGGCCTGAGAAATGTCCATTTGGATTTTAATCCACTGAAGTTTCACATTGTGGAATTGCACATATAAAATATGAACACGATTGGGGGAGACAATACATTAAAAATCAGCCGAAACCCCTTGTAGCAACATCTCACTGATCCTGAGGTCACAGATCTGGCAGTGCAGCTGGGGATCAGGAAGCAGGTTCAGAGAAGGCAGAGGAGTCGCTAAAATAATGTCACCGCATCAATGCAGCAACATTCCTTATTTAACTGCTAGAAAAGCCTCTCGAAGCCTCGCTCGGCTCCTGGTCACTGTTACCTGACACATGGCATGCAGTGTCATGGTTTTCCGGCTCCCAGACAGCACATGAGTGGAAAGTTCCTCGAGGCAGGCAGGGTGCTGGCAGAGAGAAACAAGTAGCAGGGAGGGGAAGAACAAGGATCCAAACCACCACAGAACTCAAAGAGCGGAGCCACGTGGGGCCAGCCAGTGCAGGGGCTGTAACAAACCTGAGTAGGACCTGAAAGCATTCCAAACATAAAAACGACCCTGAAGAGGTTTCACTGTCCTCAGTAGATTCTGGTTTGCAAAAAGCAGGGAACTGTGTACTAATTAGAAACTGTTCCATGTAAATGGCTGAAATGAAGTCCAGGAAATGCACAAGTATAAAGAATAACCTTGAGTGTGTATCCCGTGCAGCCCACAAGGCCTGATAAATGAGATCTTACTACATGTATGCTACTTATATAAAACGAATATAGCACCGTTTTTGTTTTATCCACATTTATATGAAAACATAAAAGCCCCTTCATGATCAAAGCACCTCGGTCACGCAGGGATAAGCTTTAGTCAGCTTCTCTCTACGTAAGATCTTTCTGTCGGGTCCCGAGTGACCAACTGTGTTGATCAGTGGGCCCAACGGTCTGCAAATCTGTCTTAAGTGACAGAAGACATGGAGGCCAAAACACCCGTGGTAGATCAGTTTCTCAAACTACGGTCTGTGGAGCAGCACCACCCAACCTCCTGGGGAACAGGTTTGAAAATGCAGATCCCTGGGTCCCAAGTGCAAGGCATCGATCAGAACCTTGCCCGGACACCAGCGTTTCTGCACCCCTCCCCAAGGATTTCTGGTACAAGTGCAATCCTAGAGCTCACTGGAGTGAATCATCCCCTTGCAGGGTGGTGGACTCAGCAACCCAGCGCAGGGGAGACTCACCAGGTCTCCCCTTTCTCCCTTTCCCACCCACGTTCCTAACGTACCCAGGTACCCAGTAAGGCTCCTGCTGCTTTTGGCATTTCTTACACTAGACTACCGAGCTAAGAAAAAAAAAGTTAAATGCGGGCTCCTAAATGTTTCATCACAGAAAAAGGATTCTGACATGTAATAAAAATGAATTCGAACCAGTCCTAGTTAATTTTTTAAAAAGCGTAAGATCTCTAAGCCATAGACGAGAAGCCTGAGGCAGCAGATTCCTCCAGGAACAAAAGGGAGCGAGGGGAAGTGTCTGATACAAGTCCAGAGGGCTGCAGGGAAATGGGAGGGAAACACACCTAAAAAGCAGGCGTGGAGGGGCGGCAGGAGGCAGCTCGCATCTGGGATAGGACAACGCAAATCCATTAAATGTTGGCTGGGGTGTTTACTCTGATCCTTAACACTCTTGAGGAGAGGCTGGAAACAACTAGCAAACATGTTTTGTTTGGCGAGCACAATGTTTTTAAACAATCCTGAATTTTTCCCCAACATGTAAAAATTAGATTTTGTTTAACTCACCCTCTTTCCGGAAAAGTGGAAATTGGCCGAACTCGGAAAACCAGCCGCATGGCAATACCACGCTGGAGCCAGGCAGCTGCTGCCCACCTTTGGGCTCCGGGGTGACCCCAGCGGCTACCAGTCTGCTTCCCCCACCGGATCCCTTGCCAGACCCCCGCAGGCATTTGCGCCAGCCACCCCAGCTTCAAGGAACTCAGACAAATACCAGCCTCTCTGTGCTTCATTATTTCTATTTCCAACAAAAATTCTGACTACAAATCCTTTCCTACCTCAGGGGTGTTAAAAAGAAATCAGATAATGTCTGCAAATCACCTAGAATTCATTGTAGCGTTCTCATCCTCAGCTGCTCATTGGAATCACCTAGGGGGCTTTAAAAAGCATTGGTGCTTGGGTTATACCCAGAGATTCTGACTTTCTGGCCTGGGGTGTAACCGGGGCTTCGGGATTGCACACAGCTCCCCAGGTGGTCCTGATGGGCAGCCCAGGTTGAGAACTCCCGCCTGCAGAGGACGCAAGTGGTTGCACAGGAAGGGTTAAGTTTATTCCAATCCAATCTCCAGATACAAATTTCTTGCTTCTAACCTCTATAATAATTCGCATTGCTTCTTATTTTTGGAAGTGGGCAATTATTCCAAAAGCCTACAAAATGCCATTTACAAATGGGTAAAGGGGGTCAAAGTGTCTCCTGGTTTCTACCATTCATTTTCCCTCCAACACAATTGAACAATAAAACACTAAGGAAATGAGGAGAAATTATCCCAAGAGATAAAACTCAGGCAGCACGAAGCATTCAAACACAATAAGAAGAGGCTCACAGTGGCAGGCTTGTATTAAAAAAAAAAACACAACTGCTTTGAAATTCATCGATGTACTAAGTGGAAAATTTTTCAAATAATAAAAAAAAATTTCTCCAAGACTTTCCATTAATGGCTCAATTTTTACCTTAAGATGGATTCCAAATTTTTGCCTCTCTTCCAGCTTTCTGTTAGGTAATGTGCATTTATCGTTTGGCTTCCAATCGTGGCAAATGCACACTACTGTCATCTAATTTTCAAACAGTAATGCTACCTTATATTACATTTGAAAAGTACATTTTCAAAATGGTTTCACATAATCAGAATAAGAATGGCTTCTATTTACTGGACTTCTACTAGGTACCAGGAATGCTAGACACACACTCTCTCTCTCTCTCTCTCTCTTCATCTATATATATATAGATGGAGAGAGAGAGAGGGAGAGAGAGAGATTGTGTTTGAGAGATATATATATATATACACACACATATATATATACATATATATATATGAGATCCAAAATTGGTCCAACAACCTCACAAAGTTAATTATTTCACCTCATTTTACAATTTTTTTTAAAAAGTGAGCTTCATAAAGATTTAAAATTATGTTCCAGTGAGCTAGTGAGTTGAAACGCTTGGATTCAAACTCAGGTCTGTCTGTCTGACTCCAAACTTGTGCTTTTCACACTAAACATCTTGTTTAACCATCACAACCCACAGGTAGTAAGATCTGTGCCCAATCAGCCCACTTTCCCGGTGAAAAGAGGGAGGTTATGGTCACATCACAGAGTGAGTTAGGAGGAGCCAGGATTATGCATATGTTCCCACTCTCCATCCGACGTTTCTCCAGCAGACAAACACAGCTCACATGTTACATTACGAACATTACACTGACGGCAGTTGTGCAGAACTTGTGGGTCTCAATCAAATGCTCCTGATTTCTGAGAATCTTCACCATTACTACAAAAGTGGCTTCTCTTGAAGTCAGGCCTGGCACAGTCCTGTCTATTCCAGGCTACCTGGGAACCAGGTGTCAGGTTCAGTTCCTTTATTTATCCCAGAATCCTCTCGTGAGTCCTATGAGCAATGATGCAAATAACATAAAGGCACAAGCACCAGTCTCTAGGCCTGTCCTTGGCTGCTCGGACACCATCACCAGGCAATCAGCAGGACTTCGTGAAGAAGGGCAACATCACCTTCTGTGGGTTTCCCCTTTATTCGTAAATTGTAGGGTCTGTGCCATAAAATTCCAACTAGGATGCATCTCCATGAGTGTGGCTATTTGAGGCTGGCTCCCAGGGGAGAGTGTCATTTCACGTCCTAGTCTCCTCTTCTTAAAGCTGCCGACAGACACTGTATCCTTAAGCCAGTATTCAGAAAATCATATCGTCGGTGTGGTGTGTCCAAGAAGAGATTCTCTAGCAGAAGTAGACATGACACAGCTCCCCTGCAAGAGAAAGCAAGCAGACTTGATCATCTCATAAACATGTCTCACTGATCAATACTTGTCTGCCTTCCTTTCTGCAGCAACTCTTAAGGGTAACTTGAGCTCTATTACTATGGATAATTCTCAAAGAAATTGCATTTCTGCCTCCTAATGATCTTGGAACAAAGCAAGCACCTCATTTCATTAAGTCCAGCTACCTAAAAAAGCTGGCTCAAAGGGGAGTGGACATACAGCTGAAACTGAGGTCTTAATCACTCCGGTGTGAAAGAACTGTGCTAGTTTATCAAACCGTACCACGCCTGGTCTCCCAACTGCTGGCGGCAAGAACAAACGCGTGTCAGGGCTATTTGTTTTATTCAAAAATGACAGGAAATCAAAAATCTATCCAATGGATGTGTCAGCAGCAGCACCACAGGCAAATTGGTGAGTGAGATTTATGAACCTCCAGTTTGGCTTGTGACAAAAGTCACCTGCTAAGCTACTAATTGTCAAGCACCCACTCACTCGGACACACAGGCCAGTGGGTTCCAGGGAGTCACTTTAGGGCGAGGCACCATATACAATGCAGTCACATTCTGTGTGACTGGCAATCATGCAAAATTTCTGGACAGAGAAAGACAAATGCCATATGATTGCACCTATCTGGGGGCTATAAGAACAAAATAAATGAACAAACAAAACAGAAACAGGCTCATAAATTATGCAAATTTGAAATGTGGTATTACATAGAAATATTAAATAGTGTCTCCTTATGCACATTTGTGCAAACCGTACAGAATATTTTTATGAAAAAGTAAAAACTGCAGAAGTCCAAAGCCAGTGGACTGGGTGCGTCGTCCACAGCACCTACACAGCTACCCCGTCACACAGCTGCTGCATCTGCCCCATGAACTCCTGTGTTTCCACGCCGCTATGCACGCGCACTGCAACTTCATGCACACGCAATTTTAATGATCACTGCTGCTGCTACGTTAACTGCATTGTTGTGTTTATTTTAATGCTTTGTGATGCCTTAAAATAACATCATCTGAGCGGTGATGCTGGAGCTCAGGCAGAGAACATAAACTGTCACGCTATTGGAACAGAGGTAAGATGTGATCAAATGCTACATAAAAAAAAGGCCAGGCCACCACCACAAGGTGCCCCAATGTTCATTTAGGAGAGGGCATGCTGTGACCCAGGGGACAGAAAACGTTTTCTTAAAGGGCCAGACAGTAAATATTTTAGGCTTTGCATCTGTAAGACGTCTATCATAGCAATTCGCTCTGCTGTTGGAGCTACAACACAGCTGGGAGCAAAGCTGCATTACAGTAAAACTTTACTTGCAAAAGTGGACAGCAGACTGGATTTGGTCTGCGGGCTCCAGTTGGCTGACCCCTGCTCTGCAGCTCAGTCCTACCACCTTTTCTTCACTGTGGCATTTCACTGCTCATAAAATCAGTTCTCCCACTGAAACCATTCTCCCATTTTCTACAGAGCTACCTTTGAGAAAATAAAAAGTTCCATTGAAACAGGCACCTGTCAAGCTTAAAACTTTGGAAAAATAGTCAAGAAAAGGGGGTTAAAATGGGAAGTGATAAGAAGGCAACAACACTGCAGTCGTGTGGGAGCCTCAAAAGGTCCCACATCACGTGACCGGTGCCGCCTGTATGGCTGTACAGATCTGTCAAAACTCGCCAAACTGTGCACTTAAAATGGGTCAATTTAATTGTGCACAGAGAGATAATACCTCAGTGAAGCGGATTTTGGGAAAAAGCTTAAAGCCTCAGCAATAGCCTCTAACTTGTCATAATCGTGGATTTATGTGGTAATGGTATATACCTATTACTTTCCATCTGCTCCTCTGAGAAAACTTGTCATAAATAATGAGAGTTTGAATTATGGGAATCCTTCAGGAATTCCACTGCATTACGTGCATTAAATGCACATGCCCTGCACCGAACTCCTTGTAGTATCCAGACCTCAACCACCCACTTAAGGAAGAAGACGTTACTTTTTAGGAACAATACAAAGCCCTGAGTTCATGGCTTAGCTCTCAAAACAAACAAAAGAAAAAAAAACAAAAAAAAAAAGCAAGAACGGGGTAATTTAAGATGGTAGGTAATGCTTGCTTAATTTCCTCCTTCTCACTGCAACACTTGAAATCGAAACCATAAGTTGGTGATTTAAAACACAAATTGGTGTGAGTCTCACCTCCTTTCTTTTATGTTGTGTACACTCCAGTAGGGAGCCTGTCAACATTCCAGCACGGTGCAAGGCGGGGTGGGGGTGGAGGGGGGGGCGGTGGGCAAGAAGAGGCTGAGATACTAATATCAGGGGAAAGTCACACAAAATCACTTCTCTGATTAATCTGAAACCGATGACAGAATACATAACAGTTTCAGACTACAGCTTTCAATCTGTCTCCATTCAGAGATGAAAACTCCTTTAAAGGACCGGCGGCCACGGCAGCACTGCCCGGGACCTTGTTAGAAACAAATTCTCTCCCTCCACCCACACCCACCGAATCAGAAACTCTGGTCGGGGGCCTGGGGAGAGGGACGATCAATCCATGTGTAACAGATCCTTCCACCGATTCTGATGCTCACTAAAGTTTCCAAATCCCCAATTTAAAGTTTAAAAACCAAGATATACTCTTCTCATGTAAGTGGCACCCTCCCCCCTTTCTTATTTAACGCGGAGCTGACTTCAGTTCCCACGCCCCCGGGTGAGATGGAATCTGTGCCCGAGGACACGAACACTGCCCCCTGCCGGTGATTAGTGAGCCTCCCCCAGACGCCAGCCTGGAGAAACAGGGTCGCGGGGCTGAGACCTGCTCTTCAGAGTGGATCCAGGAGCACACGACAGTAGACTCCACTCAACATTTGCTGAGCCCCTGCCGCACGCCATGCCTGCACTAGATGAAACTATCTTGCCTCCCCTTTCCAGTAGGAAATAAATCTATTAGCACGTGTTAGGTGCACAGAGGCTTAACGTTAGTGAGAATGGAGTCAAGCCTCAAACAAGCAGAAACACTTTATAATTCTCAAATTCTCATCCATAGGCATGACTCACATGCTTTGAATGCTGAGGTGCTTGCACATAATTGCTCCTTTTGCTTCTCTGGTTAATTCTCCTCAAACTGTATCATATATTACAATTAGAGTACCATGTCGTTTATACAAAAACCATATGTACTATAGTTTTAAGCCATCATAAGGAAACTTGAAGTAATTCTGAATTATTCAAGACAATGTTTGCTCTACTTAAATGTCTTACCTTCTCTCAGATGTTAAAAATCAAACTCCAATAAATTTCGTAAGAGGCAAATCCCCTATTCTCATTTATTTTAGGCTTTGATTCTCTCTTAAATAACTGTTCCACCCTTTCCACTATGAAGATGACTCCCCTTGATGTGGACAATAACAACTCAAGGAAAAGAATTTAAGTAATTCTGGAATGCCCCTGCAATCTATTAAGCCTACATTATTTATCCTAAACTAGAAGTGGCATGTGCTTCTGCAAAAGTGTTCCTTCTTCCATCCTGTGCCATGGCAGACATCGCTAATCAATCAAGGCACTCTTACCAGAGCTTGAGAATTATTTTCAAGGCCTCAGAGTCCTTCTCCATAGCATTTCAGGCAGCCATCCCCAACTGATGGGATATATATAACTGATAAAATATATTTATTGCCCTGGCCAGTCAACATGCCCCTTTCTGCAGCTCTAAACCCCTCCTTCCATTGTTCTCAGAACAATAAAATTAAAGCTTCCGTTTATCCTGAGCTGCAGTTTCTACAAATCTGTGCTACCTTCAGGGTTGTAATCATGTTGGATTGTGCTGAGCGGTTTAAACAATTTGAATGCAGTTGTAACCCAGCAACGTAGCACAAAACTGCTCTGAAAACCAAAGAACCAAGTAAATAAAGGTACAGAACAGATAATGAAACACCTGTGCGTATCACAGGGAAATGTACAGCATGGTTAGCCCGGGGAGGCAGATGCACAGCACCAGGTGGGTGAGCATGAACACATGGTCCGAGAAAACAATTCCGGTTTGGCCTCTGGTACTCACTGATGGCTCTTTACTCGGCTGATGGGGCACCACACTGCTCCTTCAGCAGCGTCTCCATTATTCTAATTCCCTATGGAGAAAAGAAAGGAAAATCAAAATGCCATATTCACGGACAAGTGCTTTTACGTTTATCACAACCCTTCCTCTTCAAGGAATCCAAGTCATGGCCATATATTCACTTCAGAAGAGTAGGCTCATAATCACGCCGTACATTTTTCTAATCTTCTGCCCATCAATTTCACATTATCTCCACATGTGCTCAGAATTACTCGGGGAAGTAGGGAATTTAGGCTCTCTGTTTTAACCAGAAGAAGACAGTCCCAGACAAGTTAGGTAACTTCGTGACAGTGGCCCCGTCACTAAGTGGCACCGCCAGAGCTAGAATAATAATGGTAATAGTTAAAATTAATTGGACATGTGCAAACGTGCTATGCTCACTGCCAAGGTTTTATGTACATTAGCCTGGGTAGTGCGTGCTGGGTGTACCGATGAGACCCGCTCTGGGACTCGGGCACCCCTTCTGGCACCTGCCAGCCCTGTCGGCGGCCAATAGCACACAGCCACCCTCTCAGCCAAAGGCAGCTGCCTTACCTGGGATCACGGCGCCTCTCCAGGGGCAGCCCACATCCAGTGACCGGTGCATACAGGGGTCCAAAGGCCTGGCCCCCTTCCCTCAATTTGGAACAACTCCGGAAGCATCCCATCTCCAGCTGCCCAAGGGATCAGCTGAGACCTTCATCACCACTGCATCACAGAACAACATCACCAGCAGCCTAATCCTGCTGTCCTTACTCCCTCACAAGGGTTGTCCCTGAGCAATCACTTCAGTAACCCTCTGCACCCAGACCTCCATCTCTCAGTGTGTCCTGACAGCTGACCAAGGACACCTTGTTTAATATGCACAAAACCTTAAATAAGTACTATTCTTACCCCTCATCTTACTGATAAGGCAAGAGAAGCTCAAAGAGGTTTAAATAATGCGCCCAAAGTTATACAGCTATTAAGTAACAAAGCAGAGAAAAAACACATTCTATTCTGTTTCAGGGGCCACCCCTTAACTTTCTCACAATGCTCGCTCCACTGTGTACCTTTCAAATCGTCCACCCACCCACTGTGGCCAGTCAATTCTACCCTGGAAGAAAGATGAGAGCCGATATTCCCTCTGCCTTCCTTCGAGGATGAGTTCTGAAGACTGGAGGATAACCCATCAGATGAAAAGCAAGGATGTGATGTAATTATGAACAAGGGACTTAAGGAAGTCAAGGCTGGATCTGGGGGCATGGGACACACAGTTCTCAGAGACCGGGAGAGAGCAGTTCTCTCTAAACTGCTCTAATGATCAAAGCTAACTTACCAGCCCTGACTGGTGTGGCTCAGTGGATTGAGCGCTGGCCTGCAACCAAAGGGTCGCTGGTTTGATTCCCAGTCAGGGCACATGCCTGGGTTGTAGGCCAAGTCCCCGGTGTGGGGCATGCAAGAGGCAACCACGCATTGATATTTCTTTCCTTCTCTTTCTCTCTCCCTTTCCCTCTCTCCAAAAATAAATAAATAAAATCCTTAAAAAAAAAAAAAGCTAACTTACCATGCAGGTCCCCAGGACCCTCTCAGGAAGACTTTGATTTCATGGGGCTCAAGCAACAAGCACCCAGATGCTTTTCGTGCTCAAGTGGGGTTGGGTGGGCCTACAAGGACAAGGAAGAGACTCTCTCTTCGAGGTTTACTCTGAGCCACAAGAGGGGGGTGCATGCCAAAGAGAAGACAACAAAATATACAGGGGTACACAACAGTAGGTTTACAGTTAGGAGTATGTGAAACACAGAGTTTACTCTTCTATTATTATGTATTAATTATTGTATTATTTATTTGTATTACAACTATAAACCTACTTTTGCCCACCCCTGTAATTAGTACCAAGGTATACTCAACAAAAGGTAGTATTTCCTTAAAGGTTTCAGAAGGTCCTTTAGATTCTGGCTGGCCATTACCACAAATATTGCCATGTTTTGGAAGGAAGAAGTATTCATTAAAAGGCCTTGACAGATCCTTGGTGGGTGGCTGAGTTGGTTGGAGCATCATCCCATACATCAGAAGTCTGCAGGTTTAATCACCGGTCAGGGCACACACCTAGGTTTCAAGTTCAATCCCTAGTTGGGGCACTTATGGAAGGCAACTGATTGATGTTTCTCTCTTACATCAATGTCTCTGTCTCTCACTCTTTCTCTCTCTCCACCCTTCTTCTCTCTCTGAAAAATCAATAAACATATCCTCAGGTGATGATTTAAAAATTTTTAAAAAATAAAGAGACCTCGACAGAAGGCCAAGGAACATGGAGCATTGGGTGAACCAAACCGCCAAACTGTGGGACCACATGCACTGTCAGGAGCACTGGGTCACAGCTCCACCAGTGATTCTCCTGGGTACCATGCACTAGTCGCTTTTCTTAGGAAATAAATTAGACCAGAGAGTGCAGGGGATTTCGGGGCTCACTGGGCAGTGCTTTCCACACTCAGCTGCTCATGGACATTCCTAGGAACCCACAAAAGCAAATACCGACGCCCAAGCCCTATGCAGACTGACTCAATCACAACTTCCAGTGGTGGGCCCTGGAATCTGTAGACTGATAGCACGTCTCACGTGGTTCTGAAGCACAACAAGTCCATTCACTAGAATGTGTCAATGGCACCCTGACATCACTTCCAAGATCCCTTCCCACTCTGCCAGTCTGAGAAATGATGAAATAGTTCTCCTGAAACATGTCTGAAGATAGGGTATCTACTGCAATCTTGTACGCCAGAGCTCCTTTCCTCTTAAAGAGTTAGGGGGAAAGGAGAGAAGGAAGAGGTAAAACATCCAGGGGAATGAAATTTAACCTAAGACCAAAACTGTTCTCACATCTTCTCTCATTCATTCAACAGATCCAGCTAACAAATATTTATGGTGCACCTACTATGTGCGCTGGCGATAAATGGTGAAAAAAACAGAGTTCCTGCCCTCATCTAGCTTATTGTCTTAGTGGATTTCCTTCCCCGGTTTCAATTTTTTGTTGTTTCAACAAACCCCTGGACAATAATTAAACGTCTTTCTTCGATTTTCAGGAAGACTAGAAACTGCCATGTTATTCTGTTTTAAGCTTCTTTTTGCAGAGTGGGCACCTAAATCAAGATGGTACGTCTTTAAAGCCAGAGAAGCACACCCTTCCCTTAGGAAAGCTCTGTGAACTTCCCCCTCGTCCACCTGAGGAGCGCACCACTTACTGAGCCGAACACTAACTGACGCACGCGAAGATGTTCAGGTTTGCCTTGGGAATTGAAAGACGTTATTTATTGAATCAATTATGCTCTCAATGTGATAGCTGATTTTTCTTTCCTTTTTTCCCTCTCTCATACCACTTTAGTCTTTTTAAGCAGAACAGTTGGAAATGGAAAGCAGAAAATGGGGGCAGAGAGAGAGAGACCTATAAAGTGAAATAAAAAAAAAACAGGAAAAAAAAGCTCTATTAGGGAGGCCAAACCATTATTTAGTGCCTCTGTTTGGTAAAGAAAGACCAAATCAAAGCCCAATCGATACAGTTCTTTCAAATAAAGTTTAACTGCTCACAACTCAGCCCCCAGGAGATCAGGCTTAAAGGGACAAAATTGACACCACTTATCACACAATGAGGCCTGAAATGCAGAACAAACATTAAATGGATACACCTTTATAGATATGGCTTAAAAGCTTTTTGGACTGACAAACCATAAACCAGCTTGATTTTATTATTTTTTTCCCCTCTGAGACTCTTCTTCCCTATTACAAGGCTATCTTTCTGTTCTGCACGTGCCGGCAGACACGTACGTAGACCCTGTCAGTCTCATTTTCCTAATACCAGAGCGGTGCAGGCCGAATGCAGAGGAACCCAGCACCTTCCAGATTCCAAACGCTTCCCAGATTCCGCACCCTGGGAGGCTCTGACAGCTGAGTATTATGGAAAATGAAAAGCTTGTCCCAAGAGGAAGGGGACTACGTTAGAACTCAAGGTGGACAGATCCAGAGAGTCTATTTATTTTATCAACTTGATGCTTTCTTAAGAAGCTCTGACTTACCTAAGAGGCCGTGAAGAGAGTAATATTGGACCTTATGGAAATTACCAAGTCCTAAAGCAGTTCTCCAAAGACATACCTATGGAGGCTCTCTTAACAAAAGAGAATTCCTCCCTGGACTCTCACAATGGTAAAAGATGGGTGTTAAAGACGCACAGTGGGAATAATGCTTTTGTGGGGGCCATGGCTTTGGAGGAAGCACCATGCAGAGGACCAGGGTCCTTGTGTGTGAGGGGCTGCACCCATGCCGCGAGCAGCAGGGATGCCTGTGCTCAAGGAGTCATTAGTCTCTTGGGAGGAAACAGAGGAATGCAGAAGAGCTGACGTGCAAGACAGCCCTGAGCAGGGCTGCCATGTTTAAAAGAAAATACTTCACTGCGAGAAGGAAAGTAGAGACTCATCTTGTGGGAAGGGAGGACTTGCAGAAGCCACTGGAGGAGGAGGGACTTGAGTCGGACCCAAAGTCTGGTTATGGGTGTGACGGACAGAGATGAAGGGAAAGACGGAGCACAGGGAAGCTTAAGAAAAGGTACCGGGGTGGGAAGAACAGTGTCTGTGTGGTTAAGCAATTGCCTACCCGAAGGGGGAGAGAGTGGACTGGAGATGAGGCATTTCCAGCCCCTCCACCCCACCCTTTGTCCACGCTACACACGCCCTGTGCTCCCACCTCAGCTCTGCTCTTTTCTGGAAGAGGCAACAGCACAGAAACGTCCCAGTATTGCCACCAACGGCACTGTGATTACGCAATGGCCCTATTAGAGAGATTTAGGGTTGAGTCCAAGGTTGGGCAACCCTGGGCATTTGGCTTAAATTCTCTAATCTTCAACTGCCTCACCTTTAAATGGAAATAATAATATGGACTTGCCCTAACAATTAGTTAAAATCACATGTGATCTGGTCATCACAGAACCTAGGTCTGGTAAACACTCAGTAAATAAAGGGTTGTTCTTCATCCAACTCTCCTTAATGAACATCTAATCCCACTAGAAAG